ACTTAGGTCAGCTCCTAAAATATCCTTTTCTTGGCCTATGTTGATAACTCTCATTCAACAAGTGACCAAAATGAGAGGTGAAACTATTCTTCGAATGTGGCTTTTTAGAGTGAGAAACTGGAGGAACTGGCAGGAAGATGGACAGAGAACATTGCATCAAGGTGGGAATGTGGCACTCAGGGCTAATGGAAGAGAAATACTTTTAAAAAGTGGGAGAGGATTTGTTTCCTTGTGTGTTTGTTTGATTTTTCTGCTTGCTATGAGTGTAGAAATTTGATGGGAAAGAATGATAGCCAGACAAGAGCTATGGGAAATTGATGGGTAGCGAATGCATGATACCAAACTCTTAATAATTTATTAACAGTGAAAACAAAAACATTTCTCAAGTTGTGCAGGCTGACTTGTGCTTCCTGTGATGGTGACTCTGAGGACATTGTGCCTTTTCCTTTGAGAGTTACTAGAGTTACACATGAAAAGTCATCACAAGAACAATTAATGATATGGAAGATGCCATTTTACATTCAGCCCAGAAAAAGCAATGGCATAAGGTTGTCAACTCATGAAGTTATTGATAATCTATTAGGAAAGCTAAAAAATATATTCAGCTTTTTTTTTTTTTTATCAGAATACCAGTAGAATGTCATGGTAGAATGTCACAGCTAAATGAAAACTAGCATTGAGAGTTTGGCTGTTTCTAAAACTGGAGGGATGATACCCTTTCTGACCCTCAGTTTGTATGAATGAATATGAACTGATTTGCATTTTCTAGGAAGAGAATAAGGATTTTTTTTCCATCTTCTTGGTCTCCCTGGAAGACCTCTTGATGGAGAAAAAGTGAATGTGGCCTTTGAAGGGGCTGGAATGCTTTTCTCCTCTACTGTGGCCACTGGTTTAGACTCTTTGCCCAGTGAGTTATAAGTCGACATTTTAGAAACTAGTTTCATAAAGACCTAACCAAAATATTCAGCCCAAGCAATACCACTTAGGGACCCAAGTAGCAAAATAGAGCCCAATGATGAAGAAGGTGCCACAGTGTTCATACAGTGTCTGAAAAATAGTGAGCACTCAGTAAATGCCCAATGGGTGCATGGGGCGGGGGGAATAAAACCAACCCTGGAAAATTTGGATTGTTGACTTTGGGAGCTGCAAGAAATCATTCCCTTGTCCTGAGTGTTATTGGGCATTATGGGTACCATTAATCCTGCCAGCAGAGTGTTCTTAATTGACACTGGAAACAGGACAAGAGGGATCTGAAAATGAAAAGGAAGGAAAAAAAATCACACCAGAAGAACCAACTTGTTCACAGAACACACGAAATACTTGGGAACTCAAAGGATGCATGTTGGCAGACAGGAGGAAGAACAGTGGAGGGTGGATTTAATTTGTATGTAAAAGCAGTTGGGGACAAGAACATAAAATTCATTTTGTGAGCATTATAATAACTTCGTTTGTATTCCCTGTTTGATGGAGTCTGAAGACATTTGGGGTACATCCGGTGTAATGTGATAAGAAAAAACCTAAATGTTTTCTGTGCTATGGAAGCTAAGAATATCAATCTATGTGGGAAGAAACTTCATGCGTGGTTGCAGGATGGTCTTGCTTTATTATGTCATATAGGTTGTGATATTGGAGAGTTAGTGCTAAAAAAAAAAAAGGTCAGTTTTCATGTTATTGACTTCCAGTTTCAATAGGTGACCTAATTCAAAAGTAAACACCATATGTTTGGAAAAAAAAGTCTCTCTGGGATGGGATAGGAGGACTATCTTCAGTGTGTGGAATAGCTGCTCTAGTGATATAAGCTTCTGATTTATTATCTAGCCTTAAACACTTGTTAGTGCATCCCCATGAATATCTAGGCCAATTTAATTTGAAGCAGAGCCCAGAAGTGTTCTTGCACAATATGCATTTAAGAGGTTTTCTTTGGGCAAAGATAGTGAATTCTGTTGTCAAAGACATTCATTTCTGCCAGGGTTATGTGGCAGTGGCTCCATTTGGCCATCCTTCAGTGCTCTGGAACCAAACCTAAAGCTATTTAAAAGCTAAGACAAAGAAATCAAATTACCTACTCAGGAAAATTAGAAACCCAAATATCCTTATGGTAGCATAGAGAGAAACCACGTTCCCAAAACTGAGAAACACCTAAACCAAAGTTCTTGTAGCAAAGTAAATTCATTTTTGTTTGTATTTTCATATTACATATTGTATAATGAAGTGAATTAAAGTATCAATACAATAAAATCATGTACTGTACCAATGGTAACACTGTCTAGGATTGTGATTCCTCAAAACGTTTCAATGTGTGGACATATAGAAGAGAACTTTGTTTTGCTAGTTTCTCTTTTCACAAATCTATCAGTTTCCTTTGCCACTTCACATTCTTCCTCTTCATTTTGTTTTCCACTTCATATTTTCCCTGTGTCCATCTGAGTTACTGGACACATAGTCCTTTGTGTATCAGAACCACATAACTGAAAAGCAACCATTAAGTTCTTTCGGTGCTTGGACACAAGTCGTATGCTCAGCATGTGGCTGCCAGTGTGTCCTGTCCCTCAGAGATCTCTCTTCTTGCTACCTTTGTTTCTGCAGTATCGTTCTTTTTTGATACAGCTTTCCAAACTGGCTTTATTTTTCCATTTTGATTGTCCAAGTTCCAAGTCTGACAAAGACACCTTCACTATCCTCAAAACTTGAGATGATTTATTTATAGTTGCGATCTAGATGGAAGATAGTCCTTTTCTTGATCCTTATTCTGATGAAATGTTTTTTATGACTGTCTCACACACATAAAAAGGGTTAGCTAGGTAAAGACCTGGAGTATACTTTAATGCACTGCATTTGGGCTTTTGCATATACATATTTTATCTTGAGCTACACCTTGGTTTTTCTTTTCTTTTTCTACTTTCTTCTGATGAGAATGAAGGAAAGACATTGTGGGTTAAAATGCCATTTTTGGAAATTCATTTATAATAGGCATTAAGCGAGCCAAGAAGATGGCATCTTAAAAGATTGTTAATGAGTAATACACACAGTATTTATGATGCCAGTAATGTACAGCAACCAGCCTGCATTAATCAACAGTTAGCACATTAGTGAATTATGTTGATGAATTGTTTGGAAGATTTCCTGAATTTTAATGATCATTTTAAATACCATATGCAATGAAAGTTTTATTCTAATGATGACCCCAATGTCTCAGTTGTAGTCAGGAAAGGATCCTAAGCCTAAACCTAAGAATAAAAAATAGGCATGTGAGGAGAAGGCAGTGTTACAAGGTAGTTAGGCATGAGCTCTGTGGTCGTGGTGATCTGGTTTAAAAACCCAGCTCTGGAATAGGCCTATGGGACTCTGGTAACGTTATTTAATTTCTCTAAGAAATATTATGTCTCTGGGTGTGTCTCTGGTGCATGCCTGTAATCCTAGAAGTTCAGGAGACTAAGGCAGAAGAATCTCAAGTTCAAAGCCAGTCTCAGCAACTTAGGGAAGCCCTAAGCAACTTAGAAGGACCCTGACTCAAAATGAAAAAATAAAAAGATTTGGGGATGTGGGGATGTGCCTCATTGGTTAAGTGCCCCTGGGATCAATTTCTGGTATAATAAAAAAAAAAAAGCCAAAGAAAAAGAAAGATTCTGAGAAGTGATATGTATTAAGTCTTCTAGGGGCTGGGGCTGGGCCTCACACCTGTGAGGTACTGGGTTCGCCATGGAAAAAAATAAGGAATAAATGAAGATGCTATGTCCATCTGCAGCTAAAAAAAAAAAAAAAAAAAAGATTTCTAAGCGTAGTGCATGGTAAGAACTCATGTGCAATAAATGATAGTGAAACTGGCTGTCCATTAACTTCACTATCTTACTATTTTGGGAAATTCCTTATGCTTTAGGTTTAATAGGGATGTAGAGCCAGTGTGTTACTATGGAACCTTCCACAAAATACCAGATCCTTCCTTTTCCAGCCTCCCATGTGACTAGAATAATCATGTGACCCTAGGTTTAGCCAACCAGTCACTCATACTCTGAATCTGAGTCAGGAGTTACAGTCACAAAGGGGCAGGATAGGACAATGGGTCCTAGCTGGAGTGGCCACTGTGACAGCTCATGAATTCTGTGGGGCAGCCATGCATGAGGCTTCCAGAGTCATCTCTGGCAGGGGAACTGTTAGCTGTGATAAACAGGGTAGGGTGGTGGGGGCAACAGGTCCTCTCTGAACCTGATTTATGGCATGAAATATGGTCCTATCTGTTGCCTGGCTGACCCTGTTCCTGCCAATTTTGAGTCTGGTTCTCCAGCTTTCCTGGTGATTCTACGAGCTAACTGATGCCATTTCAAAAAATTCACTTTCTCCTTAAGTCAGAAAGAATTGGTTTCCATGGCTTAGCTTTAAGAACTCTGATTAGGGTGACTGTTCTGTCAATCTTTCAGCTATGTACTTTTAGTGAATTAGTCTGGAAATATATTCTGGAAGGACTGTTATTTTATCTGAGTCCATAAACCTCATGAGCACAGTAAGCATATTTGCCCTATTCACCCCATATCCTCAGTGCCTAGAAAAATGTCTGGTTGTGTAGTAAATGCTTAGCAAATATTGACAGAAGTGGGTGAATTATGGAAACAGACAGAGCAATTACAATGACGTATTATATTATCCTCTCCCAAGGGGTTACAAACTACATATAAAGCAATCATAATCTGGCACTCCTGCTGCAGAAGTTATAGGATAAAAAAACATAACTGCTTGATACCTTTTTATTCACAAGGATGAGCATTTTATAGAGAGGAAGAGAAGACTATAAGAGGTAGAAATTACAGAGCTTATAATTTAGGTAACATGGAAGTAGGGAAATTGAAATTTCTGTCATAATAACTGGCTCAATAATAAATATGATTTTTTTCTCTCACAGGATAAACAACTGATGCTTTACAGTATACTGTGTTGCTAAGCTATGATATTCAGAAGGTTAGGTATCTTAATTGCATTTACCAATTGCAATATTTTACTGATGACAGGTTTATCAAGGCGTAGCCCACCATAAGCTGAAAAGAATCTGCGTGTCCTCACAATGACTGAATCCCAGCTTTGCATCACAGAACAACATGGGAACTTCAAACTTTGTAACTAAATTAAAGTTGCAGTGCACAGCCAGCTCTCTCTGAACCTGGCTGAAAAAAAGTATAAATCCTCTCTGGAAGAAGGTAACTTTACTTTATGCCTCAAATTGTTTCTACAAATAAGTTTCCAAATATACAAGAAGTAAAAGAACGTTGCAGTAAAGAAACCATAAGCAAGAGTCCATCAAAAAGACCAGAAAATGAAACCCTGAGGGACCCTGGTATTAGAATGATCAAACACAGAATATGAAAAAAAAAAAACGATCAATACATTCAAGAAGAAAAAGGAAGGGCATAAAGTTTTAAGGAACAGAAGCTATAACCTGCAATAAGTAAAAAAAAAAATAGAATTCTAGAACTAAAAATAAAATATTTTTAGACAAAAATAAAAATTAAAAACTAAGTGGACAGGTTTAGAAGCAAATTAAACACAGCTGAAGAGAAAAAAAATAAGTTAGAAGAATTTAGTCAGAAAGAAGCATGAAGCCACAAAAGATGGAAAAATGTAGAAAGAAAGTAAGAGACCTAGGATATGTGAACAGATTTAATATATTTTTAACTGGAAGAGAGAAGCTAGAAACTTGGCAGGGGCAATTTAGAGATAATGATTCAAAGTAACCCAGAACTGATGAAAGACATCAATTCACTCTAAGAAGTCGAACATCTCAAGTAGTATTTTAAAAAGAAAAAGAAAAAAAAGAAGCCCAAATTCACATAGTGAATTGTGGAAAAATAAAGCTGAAAAGCAACCAGAAAAAAAGAGAGACAGATTTTCTTTGGAGGAACAACAGCTAGACTAACAGCTGACTTCTCAATAAGAACCATGGAAGTTGGAAGCTAGCAAAATAACTTTAGTGTACTGAAAAGGAAATGGAGTCACGTGTGGCATAGCAACACTTCCGTCAACAAGGGACTGCGTATTTGATACTGCCCCATAAGATCATATTGCCTGGTGATGTCACAGCCATCTTAGTTTGGTAAGTACTCTCTGGTGTTTGTATAATGAGAAAAATCCCATTATGAAGCATTTCTCACAATATGTCCTGGTTGTTAAGTGACGTATTGGTGTAACTACCAACTTGGAACTTTTATCCCTTGAAAATATTCTTCAAGAAAGAAGATGAAACTAAATAAAGATATTTTCAGACAATCAGATACTGAAAGACTATGCCACAAAATAATCTATACGAAAAAAGATTTGGACAGAAGGAAAATTAATTCCTGATGCAAATTTAGAGAGGTGTAAGGAATGAAGGGCAATGAAAGTGATAAATATGTAGATCAATCTAAATGAAAGTTGAACATGTAAAACACTAATAATAATGCCTTGTGGAAATTGCAAGATAGTACATACAGAGAGAATACTATATATTGCATATAAGTGAGAGAGTGAATTAGGTTAAAAACAGAGTTCTAACAGCTTGGTATTATCTAAGAGGAGAGTAAGTAAGCATGAAATTTGACATTTGACTTTGGCAGGTCACAGAAGGATGCTGTAGTTTCTACAATAATTATTTAAGACAAAAAGTATAAAACTGTCAAATTTAGGGGGAAAAATATAATCACAAAAAATTGAAAATCCAGAAATAGGCAAGAAAGAGGAGGAAAAGTAATACAGAATAGTTGGCAAATTTAGAGATTGCATAACTGAAACCAAATTATTATTAATTGCATTAAATGTAAACAGACTAAATGTTCTAGTCAAAAGAAAAAAATCAGAATAGATTTAAAATAGCATAATGCTTAAATATAGGTTACTGCCAAAGACATATCTAAAACATGGACATGTGAAAAAACTGAAAGTAACAAGGTAAAAGTTCTATCATAAAAGCATTAATTAAAGAGAGCTGTTGGACCATTATATAAGATTACTAAAGAAAAGGGGACTCACTTTACAGTAATTAAAAGTTCAATTCACCTAAAATATATGAGAATTTTCTTATTTGTATATAATTAATGCCATTTCAAAAATTAACACAAGTATCAGAAAAGTCAACAAATTCCCAATCATAGTGAGAGATTTGAAATATACCTTTTTATTTCATACATACACACACACACACGTGTGTGTGTGTGTGTGTGTGTGTGTGTGTGTAAAATAAACAAATTAAAATTTGTTAAGTGTAGATTTGAAGACATTATTAACAAACTTAACCTATTGGACATATTTAAACAACTGCTGAACACATAGATGATTGACAAAATTGATTTCATACTTCATATTACAAGATTGAAATGAGTAGAGTTAGTAAAGTTGTGCTGAAGAATCAATAAAAAAATATAAATTTCTTTTATGTTTGGAAATTAAGAAATGCAGTTATAAACAGCCTATAAGTAAAAAGTAAATCATGATAAAAATTAGAAAATATTTTGATCCAAATAATAGAATATTATGCACTAAAATTTGTGGAATGCAGTTAAAGCAGTAATTAATAAAAACCACATAGCCTAAAATGACATTATAGGAAAATAAAAAAGCCCTACAAGAAATGAGTTAACCATCCTTCTCAAGTAATAACAGAATAAAATAAAGAAAGTACGATAAGGGTAAGTAAAATAAGTAGAAAATAAATATATACTAGAAATGACAGTAAAATAAGAAGTTCATTGGTGAGACTGATCAAGAAAAAAAGAGAAAAAAGGATAAGTAGTTGATACTAAGAAGCAAAAATCAATGATTGCTATAGAACATGCATTTGTTTAAAAGCTAATAAGAATATTGTAAATAATATTATGCCAAAAAGTTGAAAATTTAGATGAAATGTACATATTTGTAGAAAAATACAACTTACCAATACTGACACAAGAATAAGTAGAAAGCCTGAGAACTCCTATTTCTATTTGTCTTCGTCCACTTGTGCAGCCATAAAGAATTCTACAGACTTAGTAAATTATGAACAATGGGGATTTATTTCTCACGGTTCTGGAGGCTGAGAAGTTCACAGTCATGGTGACAACAGGCTGCACAGCTGGTGAGGGCTGCTCTTCTGCTTCCAAGATAGCACTTTGTTACTGCATTTTCCAGAGGGGAGGATCATTGTGTTCTCACAAGGTGTAAGAACAAGGAAGTAAACCCACCTTCTCAAGCTCTTTTATGAGGACCCTAATTCCAGTAAGGGGCTTAAGCATCTCTTCACCTCTTAATATCATGACATTGGCGATTAAGTTTCAGCATAGAAATTTTGGAGAACACATTCAGAACATAGCACTAAAATAAATGAAGTTTAAGTTCTAAAATAAATGAGTTTATTCTAGAACAAAGATAATTCCATGTTTAGTCAGATTTACCAATTTTTTTAAAAAAAGACAATAAACAGATATACTTTCTCAGCTGGGTGTAGTGGTGCACACTTGTAATCCCAGTGGCTCAGGAGACTGAGGTAGGAGGATGGCAAGTTTGAGGTCAGCCTCAGCAGCTTAGGAAGGCCCTCTCACAAAATGAAAAATAAAAAGAAATGGGGATATGGTTCAGTGGTTAAGCACTCCTTAATTCAATTTCTGG